ATAGAAAATGAGGAAAAAAGTCAATGTCATTAAAAATCAATTAAATGTTCGCATTTACACCAGCGCGTGGCGTGAGCCAATTAATTAGTTAATTAAGAAAAAATGTCGCCGCAACCCATCTTCTTCATTCTACTCTTTGTCTCACTTTTAACCTGATTTGACATTTTACCAGCACTGCAAGCAAGTGTAATATCGCCAACATCGTCCTTACTCAATATACTCCACACCGTAAGCCAATTATTGTAAATACTACACAACTTAACCCCTTAATCCTCGTTATGTCATCATGTATGTATATACATACATACTTATATACATTTGTATGCAGATACATGTAATTTATCAAACATACTTGCCCACTACTTACCCTTAAAATCCCAAATATCTTTGGACTCGATTGGCTAAACAATGACATTAATAAATCAATGATTGATATTATAACCAACGAGCCATCCATTATATTCCAGCCGGATGTAAAGTAGGCATCATGGCCATAAAACATGCCAGTCGACACCACCTAAATAGTCAGGGACGAAAGTAGTAAAAGAGAAATGCAAATCATTCAAATAGCCAGTAAAGGTAAAGTGTTAGAAGGTGTTGGTGTATGTGTGTGTGTTTGTTTGAGTTTGGTCTACATACATACGCACGTTTAGAATGAAATTACCCATAATGACAACTTAATGACGCTAAAGGCACACTGTCGACAAAGAATGATGAAATATGACGGAATACGGCTAAGTGAACGCTGTACATAAATGTTTTTAACTTAGTTCATATTGAGTTATTTAACATTGACTACAAAAGATCATTGCAAAGTCTAATTTCTCCTCTACATCAAGAGATTTTGGAAGCACTCTCGATGAGTATGCGCTTAAGGTCTTACTCGAACAATAAAATAAAAACAAAAAGTTTCTCTATAAGCAACAAAAAAGATAAGTAGTGAGTTCAGAAAGGCAACGACTAAGTTTTAAAGTATAATAAAAAACCCGTTTGCCTCTGATCGGTTATACTGAAGTTAGTTGAAGTTAGAGTGGTTGCAACATACCGTCTTTATTGGCAACAGTGATACAGTTGGAACAGCCCTCACTTTTGCAGTCAATAACCAGTGATTAAACGCCCACTTACAACCTGCGGTCAGAGTGAGGAAGACTTGGTGCTTAAAAAAACCTTGAGCTTCGGACGAATCTTACTCGCTGCAATGTTCAAGGGAGTTTCTTAGGCTCAATTGAAAATATTCTTGACCTTAGACTCGGGCTGTATAAGTCAGATAAAGATAATGCTAACGATATTTCATCGTGGATCGGTTTCACAACCGTACCTAGCCTACAAGCCGTCTACTGCTGGGAATTCCACAGAACATTGATCTAAGCCGAACTAAATATATCGCTAAGATCCCTCTTATAGACCTCTTCTTGCTTCTTCACTGATCAATTTCGTATATATATGGTTAATATACACAAACCTGGCTTATATTGAGAATTTGCTAAGCCATATAAGAAAAAATAACATGCCATTTCATCCAATCGTCCCACCTTGTTTTATCCTTCGCTTGTGACAATAGATTTACATTCCTTCTGCTCTTTCCAAATTTCGAAAATACTCAATATTGCGATTGCTTTGCCAATTCCTAAATCTTGTTCAATTCATCAATTTGAGAGCAACATCATTGCAATTGCGTTAATTAACCACTTCCAGCATTGTCTAATCAACCATAGCCCATTCAACCAGAGAGTTGAAGCAAAGCTATCCAATTCAGTGGTGGGGACTAGCAAAGCATTTCTTAGCCAAATGCAAAGTCAGAAATATCAGAAGTCCTCGAGGTAAACGCCAAAAACGAGTGTATTTTCATTCATTGTAGTACAACACAGCGGTAAAGCATAGTAAATATCACCAAATCCTTAGCACTTAGGATCATTGCTCGCATGCTGTGCCAATGAATGCGCAAGCATGTGCAAGCACACAAATATGTGTATGAACATGTTCGGCAACAATGTACATACATATGTAACTAAATGCCGAAAATGCTACCGTAATTACCATGAAAGCAGAGCGCCTGTTGCCAGTAAGACTTAACAAAAGTAGTCTTGTATACGTGGCAACATGCTGGTTGAGCAGACATGGCATGGACAGACAGACTAAAGGTTACAGTAACAACTACTGCAGGTGGTGTTAGTGTTTTGTGGATGTATGAATATTCCTTACCCAGTGGGAATTAGGAGCACGTAATAATACCTTATTAGCAACTTACTCTTCACCTGGCAGTCATTACCATTTCCCTGCCAAACGTCCCTTACTTTTACAAAGGCATGGCCGCCTTATGTAAGTAGGAATTAAGAATGTACATTTGGTATCAGACTTACTTCTGAGCCGCTTTACAAAGTAAGTTACGTGTAATGCAGAGCAGTCGCTCGGAGTAGTTCGGCGCTTGGAAATAACTTCAGCTGCACATTACTTTGCAACTGACAACGTAATGTGTCGTCGGAGGTGTTCATTTTGCGCTTTACAAGTAGATGACATTGGCCATGATGACAATTTTGGTACTGAAAACTGAAAGAAAACATGGGTTACCTCGTAAGGTGCTTACCTATTTTCCCAGTGGGTAGTATTGTCGAATGTATTTATGTATGTATTTTATTCTTTTTTGTTTTGTCTGAGTAATTCTGGACTTACCTTAATGAGCATTTCCACTGTAAAAACGGCTGTGAACACGTTATTGGCTGTGGCAAGAAAATAACGCTCCGTACTCGTTGGCGGTATATTTGGTCGTTCCATAGCCAAGGTAATACAATTGAGTGCGATAAACAGCAGGACAACATTGTCGAACCATTTCTGATTAACAAACCACACACATAGTTCACGGAACCTGTTGAGTGTGAATGGAAAGCAAGCAAAATGAAATTGCAACAAAGTAAATAAGTGTAATTGCTAATGAGAATGAGAAGAATATAAAAGAAACGTAGTTATTGAAGTATTAAAATTGGCGGAAGGAAAAATAATTAAAGCTTATGGGCCAAAGACATTTAAGATTTCTTTTTCCGCACTTCGAAGTACTCAGGTGTTAATTTTTGGACACATCTTTCCAATAAACCTTTTAACACTAACCAAAAAGATGTGAGGTGTTCTTTTCTTGACACTTTTTTTTCAAAACCCCCCTTAACACTTACCGAAAAGTGTGTCACAGTCTCATCTTCTTCAAGATAGGTGTCTTGTACTCTAAAGTGCGTAAAAAACCGTCCCGGTCTTAAGCAGATCTGGTACCTATTGAGTTGGATTATTGAACGTCAAGCGGGTTAGATGCAAAATATAAGCTTCACTGTCTTATTTTCCCCAAGACAGGCAGGAAAAATGTCGAAAAAATGAGTGGTGAGCGCTCAGAAATGACCACGTAGTCTGCAGGACGCTATATTCTAGTCCAATGCGCAAAGTATTACTTTTCGAATCCCTCGTTCATGATCTAAATAACGCGAAGATCAAAGGAAGTTTGTAAATCGGAAAAGAGTCTTAAAATCTCAGCATATCTATAGTCTTATAAAGCTTCGTGAATACCCAAATGAGTGCTTTTAGGAGCTTTATTGGCCCGAAGCAGCTTCAGGCATTATTGAGCTCCCGATAAGTACTCATTCAAGTCCAAACGACTTGCTTGTCTAGGCTCAATAGTACTAAGCTTACATAATTTTTCTCCAACTACCTGAATTAATTTCTTCTTCTGCTCGAAATTATTTACTTAAGTGATCGTCATGGAGATTATTATAGGAGTAGCCTGCTCTCTGATCGATATTTATAATAAGGATTAACAACATCGGGAGGGAAGAAAGAACTATTTTATTAATTATAGATCTATTTACATACACTTAAGGCCATCAGCATATCCATTCTTTAAGTATTTCTTACTCCATATCGACAGCTGAGTGGAAGATCGACCTATCTCGGCAGTCAGTTCAACCAAATTTTGAAGTAGACGCGTTCTTGAATAGTTTTCCGAGATAGGGCGTTTTTGAACCGGCCGCCTAGATAGGTCGATCTTCCACTTGGGCTTATGAACAGTTAACTATGTTTCAGGTTGCAGACTGTCAAGCTAAGTTAAAACCCTGAAGTATGTAGTTGTGGACACTTAAATATTATCAGAAGTTTTATTTGCACGATGAGAATTGTAGCAAATGCAACAAGTGAGAACGCAGCAACCACGTTACATTTCTGGCATTTGGTGTAATCATTATGGTTCGTGACTTCGATATTAAGCTTTTTTAAATATAAAGTCAAACGTTTTTACAAAAAATTATTTGATAAACCGAATGAGAATTCCAGCAGTTAGCAGCAGGTTTTTGTTATTTCTTGCTTGCTGTAAGAAGCATCACCATTAGCCAAAGCCAAACACACACATACATACATGCATACAAGTGCATGTGACCGACCACCTGCTGCTCGAATACATGAGGCCAATCTTATAGCCAAATAAGTCGAGCAGTAAATGGGCTTTCCGCCACTCGAATTGTGAGAGCAAATGCATCAATGTACGAATGTGGGTGTTAAATAAATGAATGAATTGCCGACTAGATAAGCTTTGCTACTTGCTGGCTATTGAGTGCACAACTGGTCAGGCGAATAGGTGGTGCGGTCGGTTGGTCGACCCTATTGACCGGTCGGTGGCGGTGGCAGGCACAGCTGGATACTGCTGGGATTTTGGCAGCGTATAATCACCATACATACATATTTGGAGAGTATATCTCTCTTTACACTTACATAGATGTGCACGAGACTATTGTATGAACATATGTATGTATTTATGTAATGCCTGCCGCAAAACAGGATACTAAAGTTTTCAAACAAACTATCTCATTGTCAGTGAATGAAAGTGTGGCGTTTTTCCTTTATTTTTTGTTTTCTTTTCCACATTGCAGTTGGAGGCAGAGCAACAGCGCTGAGTAGCAAGCAGCACTAGCAATGAGCCATTGCAAAATAGCTGCTGATTTAAATGCTTGACTGGGCACAGCAAATAAAAGTAAAACTTTGTATTTACGTGAGTGCAAAAATTCCCAATGGCATTGGGAGTTTGAATGCAAAGAGCGACGAAGTGGAAAAAATCAGCAGGTGACTATGTAGATTCGAATTTCAAACGTATGTATTTATGTACATACATGCACATGTAGGTATGTATGTGTATGTAAATATGTGATATGCATGTACGTAAGCTTGTATGGTTTGGCGGATTACGCTACTTTTTGTGGGATTACAAGCTACAAGTGTTGAAGTAGCTTTGGGTAATTGTAGTCTAGTGGTTATTACGAAATTTCGAATTCAACATTACCATTGTACTACGGTAAAAAAAAAAACCTGCATGACAATGCTGCATTAAGTGGGATATGCGCTATGCGCGTAATTTTACTGTCGTTATGAAACTTGTGGAAATTAGTGTAGTACAATTGTTTTCGGTGTCCAATTTCCTTAGTTGCTATGGAAGTAAAGAGTGCGCCCAAAAGTATGTAACATTACATTGTATGTCTTAAAAAAAAAAAAACTTCTCAAACGACCCTTATTGCAATTTCCCAAAGCCGGAAGCTACTGGCACAAAGTATCATGCTCCTTCCTCTTAAAGGCAGAGGTTTTTTTTTTTTTACCACTAGCCACTGCCTATACCATCTTCAGTTATTGACTATGCTCTAATATCGTTAGTCTCTTGTACTAAACATCATCGTCATTTCATGGTTTGTCTCAATATGTCTCGACGAATCCTACTAACTACCTACTACTGTATGAATCAAAGGATCAAAGTCGTCGAAGGCTCTCTCTTTAGAAACGAAAGGCCTTGTTAAGGATGCATTAGCACAGAAAATGATTATCAGACCTCGCTACGGTTCTATTGCACTTGCTGGGGAAGCAGGTGTGAAATATGTTCACACCACTAGACTCCGTTCAGCGGCGGCATTGGGTATATGAAGGCAGTACCTTCCAAAAAATCGTATGCTTTGTACCTTCCCATAGAAGGTGTAGTAATAAGAAAGATAAACAATTTGTTATTCTTGTTGTGAAGATCTCAGTTAGCATCTTCAAGGGAAGGTATCGGCAGCATCTTTGTCTCTTCTTTGGAACAGACTCTTTCATAGCCGATTCAAAAGGACTGTACTAGATTATTCTATTCTTCGGGAATATCTAGTTGAGGAAAAATGACCGGTTTAGAGTAATCTTGTTACCGTTCTCAGAGTATGTGTCCTCCGAATCAGCGTGCTATAAGTATACGGTTTAAGCAACATGTGACTTTCGCCGAGTAAAATTTCTATAAGCCAGTAACTCGGCCAGAAGAAGCTTAGTTTCCTAAATTTGAGCAACAAACTCTCTTTTTTCGCTCAGGAGGCAAAAGGTTATTGATATTCAATAACACTTTTTTATCGACTGGATACTACCCGTGTACCAAATGTGATCCACCATTAATAATTTAAGGTCCTTCAAATCTAGAATTGGCTGTCATATTCAAAGCACTAAACATATTTTCTATGACAACGGAAAGCAAATCATCAATCTTGCCTTTCCCATCGAATGTCCACGATTTCCGGGACATATTAATATCCACACTTATTAGACTCAGCGATCTCTTGACATCAGAATCCCTAATTCCTTCAGCAACTTCTTTTCGGACAAGGATATGACCAAAACTTAAAGCCTTACCAGAGAGAAACAAATGCTTAAATTTTGACTATAGCTATTACTCCTGCCTGGCGAAGCAAAAAATAACCAATGCCAAGTTTCCGTAGAGAACCTACCATGCCTGTTTTCAATAAGTTTTGATTCATTTCATAAGACTCGTCTCCAAGAATACATATTTTCTCTTGTCTTTAGAGTCGCCATATGCTGTCTTCACAATACTGACCCTATTTTTCTTCCAGAGATTTTACTTTGTTGTTTGATTTTTCAATTATCCCTAGACCAGAACTGTTTAGGAATTTACTCTACTTCTCATTCAAGCCCATTGTCCTTCTGACAATTTACTTTCTCCATCCTAGAACTTACCTATTATCTTCCGCGAATATGTACAGCGAGTATGTTTCCCTCTGCTCTGTCACGTTCGTCGGCTTCAGTCGCCGAATGAGCATTTTTAACTTCGTCTTATAACCAGAACTCTGCATCATCGACTGCTGTTCAGTACGCGTTTCTTGCTGTGTTTCTAGCTCTGCTGCTTTTGTTGCAAATTCTGCTGTCGCGCATATTGACTTATGGAACTTTTTCGCTTCTCACGCTCCTGTATATATTGTTGCAACATATCGGGCTCTTCTAAATTCGTGTATGATCGTTGCCACTTGTCCAAATCGAGTTTGGAATTCGTGTACGACATTGATTTGCGATTCGCCTCCAAATTGTGCAAATTTAGCTGTGAACTTTTGCTAAAGGCCAATTCGAATGAAGACATGCGCCGTTGAGTAGCTGAGGGCGCATATAGTTTGGGCGGCTGATTGAGATTTTGATAGAGCTGCGAGTTGAAGATGCAAGCTGAGGCACGACGGCTACCCAACGGCGGTATGCTGCCAATACTGAGTGTGGTGGAAAGACGACGTATAGAATTTTGCGGACTCAATCGATTTGTGTCTTTCGTCTTTTGTTGATTATTAGTCTGATTGTTGGCTGTTAGTGGCGTCGCAACGCCAGATGTGGGCGTGCGCGCCGGACTCAAAAAGGAATCGGAGCGCACAGAGCCGCCATTACTGTGCGGCGCGAGCAGACAAGAATTGTCACTGCCATTGTTTAGCTGCTGCTGTTCGTCATCTTCGGCGCCACTACCGGCATCGGCGGGCTTCTTTTTCGAACGCTTCGAGCTGTTGCGTCGAAAACGTTTCAGGCTGGGTATGCGCTGCATGCCGGGCAGCGAAGGGCTGATTGTTGATGTCGCTGGGGCGGTTGTTGACGGCAGTGTGGGCGGCGCTTCATTGCTGCTGGCTGGTGACGAGGATGAAGGTGGGACTGCTGACGTTGCTGCTGCTTCCGATGCGGTGGTCGCTGTGGGCGTGTGCGACATAGCACCAGTGGTAACGGCAATGGCGGCGGCGGTTAAGGGCGATAACTCGATGCTGCTCACTGCGCTCCCTCCGCCAGAACCACTAACACCAACACCACTAAGACCAGCATTGCCTGTGCCAGTTGGTAGTGGCGTGCTGGGCGCGGATACTGCCGAGATCGTTGTTGGCACAAAGATCGGTCCAGAGGCGCTGGCATCGGCATTCTTCGAGATATCATCTATGACAACACTATGCACACTACTATTGCTACTTAGGGCACTAGGGAGTAAACTACTACTGTTAGGTACTAAATTACAACTGCTTAGGTTAGTATTGCTTCCTTGTAGTTGGCTGGCATTCAGTATGTTCAATGGTTTGTGCGTAAGTACCGGTGATGGTGGTATGAGATCAATCGACGGAATGCCCTCGTCGAGTGAACGCTGGCCGGTGAAGATGGTCGGTGGTCTGAGTAGTGACGGCGAACCAGGGCACTGTGTACGAGAGAGAGAGAGAGAGAGACAAGGGAAGAGAAAGAAAGAAAAAAGTTTTAGCATTGGCATTTACGAGCAGGGCGAAAAGAAGTCAAGGGCAGCACACGTATGAGTTAAGTAAAAGTGTNATGGTCGGTGGTCTGAGTAGTGACGGCGAACCAGGGCACTGTGTACGAGAAAGAGAGAGAGACAAGGGAAGAGAAAGAAAGAAAAAAGTTTTAGCATTGGCACTTACGAGCAGGGCGAAAAGAAGTCAAGGGCAGCACACGTATGAGTTAAGTAAAAATGCATGTATTTTAGCAAGGGCGCAAACCAGCATAATTGCATGAAATTTCATAATAAAATAGCAAGTAAATGCAGCAAGCAGACAAGACCTGCATAGCATGTGCGCGTGTGAAAAGCTCAAGTTCAAAGATTTTACGTTACCTTTTCTTCACTCACAACTTTACAAGGGATTTTTTGTTTTAGTAGTTTAAATGGAAAATAAGACTTTATGCAATTTAAGCGCCTTCGCCTTGCTCTTACCTGACTGCCGCCCCCACCGTCCGACGTTTCCAAATCTTGTGCATTCCAGCTGCGAAAGCTCATTCCACCCTCGAGTGTGGTGTTGGGCGAGTCTTGTGGCGTTGCGGCGGTCGTAGTAATTATGGGCGGTTCACGCAATGGGCGTACACGTGATAGGCGTGGCGCATCACCGCGTCGCTCTCTTATAGAATATGTCTGCGGAAGGGAGAAAAAAAGAATACAAAATTACGAAAAAAAAGTAGAAATGCTCAGGTGATGTTATGTCATATGATGCCAATATCAAGTGATGTCTGGAAAATTCTTACAGAAAAAAACAGTAACAATAAAAAGACTGTAAAAAGCTGAAATGGTCAGGTGATGACAATATTCATCATATGATTTTATGTCACANGACCTGCATAGCATGTGCGCGTGTGAAAAGCTCAAGTTCAAAGATTTTACGTTACCTTTTCTTCACTCACAACTTTACAAGGGATTTTTTGTTTTAGTAGTTTAAATGGAAAATAAGACTTTATGCAATTTAAGCGCCTTCGCCTTGCTCTTACCTGACTGCCGCCCCCACCGTCCGACGTTTCCAAATCTTGTGCATTCCAGCTGCGAAAGCTCATTCCACCCTCGAGTGTGGTGTTGGGCGAGTCTTGTGGCGTTGCGGCGGTCGTAGTAATTATGGGCGGTTCACGCAATGGGCGTACACGTGATAGGCGTGGCGCATCACCGCGTCGCTCTCTTATAGAATATGTCTGCGGAAGAGAGAAAAAAAGAATATAAAATTACGAAAAAAAAGTAGAAATGCTCAGGTGATGTTATGTCATATGATGCCAATATCAAGTGATGTCGTGAAAATTCTTACAGAAAAAACAGTAACAATAAAAAGACTGTAAAAAGCTGAAATGGTCAGGTGATGACAAAATTCATCATATGATTTTATGTCACCTGATGCCAAAATCAGTTGATCTCTTGAAGCATCAGCTGATAGGTAAACAGCTTTAGTAAAAGCAATTAGCGATACAAATTATGATCATAAGCTGAAGTGACCAAGAGATGTAATGAGCTCATGAGGTGACGCGTGATGTCCGCATGATGCCAAAAACAACGGATCTAACGAAACATCAACTGATAAATAATCACGAATAGGAAAGCAATAAAAAGGATGATAACAAGTCGAAGTGATCATGTCATGTGACTGATGCTGAAGTGAAGTGATGCTCTGTGATCAAGTGATCTCATGAAAAAACATCGAATAAAGCATCACCAACAGATTACAAACACGTGATGTTCATATGATGCCAATGTCACGGGATTTTGTTAGTTATCAAGTGAGCACACACAAACATTTTTTTACACAAAAATACCATCACCGCCTTCTCTTGCTTACCTTTTTTAAATTCTTATTCTTATCATCTTCCATCGATTGCTTGCTGCCAACATCTCTGTCGCTAGGTTTACGCCCACTGCCGCTACCCGAACCACTGCTTCCACCACCAACACCAACACCACCCAAATAACTCTCATTGATCTGATAGTCTTGTGTGGGCTGCAATAACATACGTTGATGTTGTTGCTTTTGCATATTACTTTTCGTATCCATAATAAGTTCAGTTGGGTCTTGTAGCTGTGAAGCGTTAAACAATAGGCGAATGAGAGTGTGTAAGTGTCCTGTAAGGGGCAGTTTGCTCCATTTTTGTTGTTTTGTGAAGGCGATGAATTGAGTGAGTGTAGATGAATTGAGTGGAACTAGATGAATTGTGTTAAAATAGCAGTTTTTGTAATGGAAAGTGGGCTATATGTATTTTGAGTGGAAGCTTAGCGAGCGAAATAAGTTGAGAGAGTAAATGGAGTTAAAATGTGGAAAAGGGACAGTAATGACTGATTTTGTAAGGGAAAAGTATGAGTTGAGTGATATTGCTTATGAAAGAGTGAGCTGAGATTAATTGACTGAGTTTTGAGTAGTATCTTGAGTCAAAAATTGGGTGAATAATTTGGGAAGCAGGTCATAGTTTTTGGAGCAACAACTAGAGTAAGTTGAGTGAGTTTGGATGATATGATTGAGTAACTTTTAATGTTAAAAATGTAGTAGGACAATTTTAAATGCTATTGAGATGGGGTGAATGAAAGACCTATGACGTTGGAGCTTAGGAAATAGACTGCATGTGATTGAATGTTTGGAGCGAACTGAAAGAGAGTGAGCTAAATAGATTTGAGCCAAAATTAAGTGAGAGTATGGGTAAAGTGTAATAAATCAAAAAATCTTTAAAAGATATAAATAAAAAAAATCATATAACCCGTTATACATTTTGGCCAGCTTTCGAACTGTGGGCGATAAAGATTTTGCTTTGGGAATTGAGTAACAATGAGTGAGCTGAAAAGTGTGTTGAATTAAATACTAAGGGTATTGAATAGTTCAGTGGAAATAGCTAATCGAGTATGTTAGTGATGACCAGGGTTGCCACTTTGGTAAATTATTATCGAAATTGGTAGAAAAAATTAGGGTTGGTATAAAACTAAAGATGTTTTCATTTTGGTAGATTTTTGTTAAAGTAATTTGTGTGAACTTCAAAACTTTTCGTTCTGGCTTTATTTTTCGTAGTTATCTTTCGCCCGAAAATTTTTCATCCGCCCATACATGGAAACGAAAAGTGAACGTGAACCGGTTAGGGAAAAATGAAACTGTGATAAGGCTGATTATAAAGTTCTTTCTAAAAGTATAGTCTACTTAGTTGCATTAATTTTGGAACGCTTTAATGCACACTTCATCGATAAAAGGCGAACAGATTGTGTTTTATTCCCCATTGAAAAAATCCCGCTGATTTAATTTTTTTTGTCACCGGATTTTTGTGTTTTATTTCTTTTTTAATTTAACAATTGCCTTTTATATTTGATTTTTTTTTATTTTTTTTTGCGAAAAATGGTTTTTTATAAATGGCAGTTGTTAAATTAAAAAAAAAAAACAAAAGTCCGATGCCGAATAAAAACTTAAGCAAGCTAAGCATTTTTTTTCGCCAGTGGCAACCCAGGTGATGACTTCCAAGTTGTATGACTTTGAGCTTAAATATTCCCTTACACTCCCAACGTCTCGTTCACGCTCTCCCTCTCTCTTCCTCTCTTTCTTACACACATTCACTGTATACCACAAATAAATACATAAACACTTTCTTTTTAATACATGAACTCTACTTACTTTCCGCACATCCTCGGCGCTATGCCAACGATTTCGTACCTCATAGTAACTTTCATTAGTCGATGATGAATCCGCCTCACTGCTGCGCGATTCATCGTACATAGCATCACTGAAATTCTCAGCCAATGTCTCTTCGCGTAGCTTTTTCACCAGTTCGCGTTGCTCACGTTCGCGACGTTCATTTCGCTGAGGGAATCAGAGAATTCAAAGAATTAGAATTTTCGCCAGCCGCACGCAAACGCGATGCGCCGTTAAGAGCAGAAGAGACGCACACACGCGCGCTGGTAGTACGCGGCGGGTGTTGGTTTTTTGATGTTTTTTTTTGGGGGCAGGACGGGGCGTTTTACATTTATGCATTAGGGTGGCACACATACATATATTATTATATTTACAGTTATATTTGTTTACTATTGTACATTTACGGTTATATTTCTTAAATTATATTTGCATATATTGAAAAGCTGGCGTAGGAACGAAAGGTTCAAGCTTAAGCTTGAGCGTGTGTGCGTTTTGTGTGGGCGTGGCTTAAGCCCAGGGGCGCGAAACCGCGGCGGCGGTTGGGTTGTTGGCGATACATTTATCGTAAAGATGTATGCGTACAAAACTTTGGCAGAAATAAATAATTTTCCACTTCGCTTTCAACGTGCGCTAAGGAGTAAAGCTAATGGTGGGCGGGGCGGACTAGTAATATTTATATAAAAAATATTTTATTTATATATGTGAATATTATACATTTTCGAGTGCATAGAAAAAATTCGCATAAGTTTATTTATAAGCCATGCATTGTTTAAAAGTCTGAGTGGAAAATTATTTATGACACCAGAGATCTGTAATTTCTTAATTAGAAATATAAAACTTTTGAAGCTTGAAAAAGTTTCAAAAAAAAATTTTTAATTCCGTTTTGCTTTTCATTTACTCATGCTTGTAAATATTAAACTTTTGTTTGTATTTTTTTTTTGTATTTTTTTTTTGCAATTTCAAAACTCTACCTCTGAACTGAATCCCTCAACTAAAATGGCAACCAACAAGTTAAATAGCACATAATTGCCGAATGTCATCAGTGCCACAAAATATAATGCGGCCCAATGACTTGTCTTTTCCATGCCATTGAATAGAACGACATTCCAATCCTCCTGGGTTAAAATCTAGAAGCGAGCGAGGGAATGTGGAGAGAGAAAGTATAAAAAGGAAATTGAATTAGAAAGTGTAAGAGTAGCGTATTTTTTTTGCTATTTGAACAATACTAACAGACACGTCTAGGAAATGAAAAGTTAAATAAAGAGGTTTACGAAAAAAGCAAAATATCAAATAAAAATTTATGAAAATAAAAACTTTGCAAAAATTAAAAAAAATTTAAAAATTAAAAATTTTACGATATACAATAACATATTTTATAATTAATTGTCTCAGAAGTACTAAATTAAATTAGATGCATTTTTGAAAGCATTAAAAAGTTTGAAAAAAATAAAAAAAACCTACTTAATTGTTAAAATTTTGCCTTTATAAAGATTTGGACAGCTATTTTCAGTTTCCTATGAAAATTAAAATGAAAAAAAAACTTTTGATTTAAAACTTCTTTTGTGTACCCTGTGTGTAGGTTTCCGGACTGTTGGAAATCACCTGATATTTTACGCAATTTCAGTCCAATAATGTATATTTTATTACAGAAAAGCCGTACCGAAATTTTGGTGTTTGATCAATACTTCGTATTTGGCTTTGGTTTTCGATGCAGTTTTTCTAGAAAAGTACCAAGATTACGTTATCTCAAAAATACTCTGGAATTTTTAAAGTATACCGGCAATTTCTTGTCAAGTTTTAATGTCAGTTAAATAAAGTACATATGTAAGTAAATTAAAACTTAAAGATTTTGTTATTTTAATTTGGGAAAATAAGATTATTTTTTTTTTTGTTTTCCAGTCATTTTTACAAACGCGAAAGGTAGCGAAATTAAGTTGCCTTCAAAATATTTCGATTTTTTTTAATTATCCGAAATTTAAAAAAAAAATATTTTTTTTTCAGATTTTAAAGCAATATATAATTCGGAATAAGAACAATACTTTGGGATTGTATTTAATCGGCGATAATTTATTATGGGTAAATTTTAGTATTTTTGTAAAATCCAACAAATTTATTCTGAAACTTCCCTATAATTTTGTATCATTAAAAAATAGCTTCTTTATTCTTTAGTTCTCAGTTTTATATTAACATAAGCGCTTTTGTAAAATACCAAATTCTCGCTATCTTCAAAAATACTTCCAAAAATTTTCAAATTAACTTGTTTTGAGCATTCGTTAAATTCTAGCGAAGAATTGAGAAAATTTTCAACACTACTGGAAACACTTACAATTTCGGGATTTACATAAAAGAAAATATGCTTCAAAAAACCTGAAAATTAAAATAAAAATAGAATTTAGACCTACGAATTTCGTTAGCAGTGTGAAAAACTGCATCGAAATCTTTAAAAGCAGTCCCAAAATTTCGATATCAGCAAAACGAAATCCCAAAAAATTCAAAAATTTCGATACTATAGACCAGGTGAAATTTTTGTATTTTTTTTTCTCTTAATGTGATAATTTTTTTGAAATACAGAAAATTTGTTCCGAAATTTCAGTACCATTCCAAAGTATTGACCTTAGCAAAATTTATTGGTTCGATTAAAGATGAAAATTGCATAATTTTTCATAAGTTTGAAAGTTAAAATATGTAAGGTTTATAGGTTTTATAAGGCTTTATAGATTTGTATTAATCTTTTACTCAAACAAATTTTAGTTTTTATTTTATTTATTTCTTGAAATTAAAAAAATATTAATTTTTACTCTTTTCTTATTCTATTAATGCTTGGAATCTATAAGTTGCATACTTTGCATACTTTTTTTTATAAAAAATAATATGTTACCATTTTCAAATTTTTATTTTTGTTATAATTTTTCCATGTTTTCTTAGTTTTTAAAAACCAAAAATTAATATTTGTTTATAATAGTTAAATTTTGTATTATTTTTTCTGAATATATTTAAAATTTTTGATTTTTTTTTTAGTTTTTGGTATATTCTTCTTCCAAAAATGAAGAGGTTTAAAGTAGTAGAAACATGTAATACTAGTTTTCTTCAAATTTTTAAGATTTTATTTTAATTCTTTCTAATTTTTTTGTATTAGTATTTTTGGAATTTTTTCTTTTAATATCTAGCTCGTTAACAACTTTTAAGTTTGTATTGATTTTTTTCAACATTTTGCGAAAGCTTGTTAATTTATTTTGCTAATTTTCAGTATTTTTTTAATATGAACATTCGGGTGTCCATGGATTTTTTTACTTTATTTAATTTAAGGCCTAAATGATTTTTAAAAAATCCATAAAAATAGGCAATAATAGGGTCTTAAAATTTCCACATTTTTCTTTCGATGCGCACCCCACTGTACATATTTATGTATATTTCTTTAAATTTTTTTAAATATTATTAAATTTTTTTCTAAATTGTTTTGATTTATTGTAAATATGATGCGCATTAAAAAAAGCTAAATCATAGCTGTGCACAGGGGGTATGTGCTGCTTTTGAAAAATCTTCAGCAAAACATTAAAAAAGAACGAAAAATATAATACACATAAAAAAATAAAAATAATTTAAAATTGGAATATACAATATTGTGTATTTTTAGACCAAAAAAAAAGAAATAATAACAAAAAGACGTCACAATAAAGTGCCGAAAATACATAGCCAAAGAAATAGCAGATAAAAATTAGAATTTATGAAAAGCTGCGAAACCTTACTTTAATTTAAAATAAGCTCAAAAAAAGCGCATAATGCCTAAAAGCGACGAATACGGATATAGAAGTTTATGTAAACATTACTTCGCTGTTGAAAACACTAACAATAAAAAAAATTAAATTATTAAAAGCATAAACTACGCTGCGAAAAAAAAAACAAAAGGGAGTCAAAAAGCAGTGTCAACTAATGTGTTAATGCTTTTTTCAGCTGGAAATGCAAAAATTCAAAATTCATTATAAGGATACTTAAAGGTTAAATCGTATAAGACATACTAATTTTTTTTTAATTTTAAACTATATCTTTGTAAATTTTTTTTTATTGATAAAAAACGTGCCAATATATGCAAGTAGACAAGTATTTATTCGAAATTATGCTAATGAGAATTTGTATTTGAAAAAAATATTTGCCATTGAGTTTTGGCATTTTCTATAAGTATGGGTTGTAATTTGAAGTAAAATATTTTTGCTTAATGCTTTGATTAGGATAAGCAAGTATAAACTTGTTTCTCGGTGCAATTAAAATAAACTAATTTATTTTAGCGCGAACCACCTTTTAGGGCACAACGTAAAGCTCACAAGAACCGAAGAGTAGGTACAATTTTAAAATAATTGTTTGTTTTTTGTTTGTTTTCCATTCGATCATAAAAACATGCAAAAGTTTAGTAAATATCTTGCTGATGTTGAGTTTTTTACTAAGTAAGCAAAAACAAGCTTTCAAGCGAAGGCTTAACTTTAAAAAAAATTGCAAAAGGCTTGCAACCTGTGTGTATGTGTGCCTCAGTTAGACTGGGGAGTGTCGAAAGTGTATTGGTATTTGTGTAGGTCACAGTTCGGAAAATTGACTTTTCGAAACCGGTTAATATTTTTTATTATACAAAATTTTGTAGAGTTATTCCAAGAGACCTATTCTGAAGCTAAGGCATCAAAAATAGAAGATCGCGCTTTTTTCGAAAGCTTCGCACTTTCATGTGAGCTTTATGGCACTAATAATACACTGTTGTATGTTTTTCCATCTTAGAGTATAGTACATATGTATATAAATTTTGCTAAGTTTAATTAAACATTTGGTCCTACCTTAAAGCTTTCTGCAACTGAAAAAGAGCTTTTTCTCAGTAACATGAACAAGTTTTTGGATTGTGATTTGTTTTTCTTTACAAGTACCGAGTTCAACTGTGAGCATAACAGATATGGATAAAAATATTTGGAGAGTGATCTTAACTCGAAACTTTGAATTCTAAAACTTTTAACGGTAAATTTAAAGAAGTTTTTAATTTTTCAACAATGAAACGTTAAATGAAAGTAGTGACTTTTAAACTCTGATGTCTAAAGCACAAAATGGTGCTGGTACTGGTACGGTATAGGTTAATGGGTAACTGTAAGGTAAAGGTAACGATAACTAAAATAATTTTTCTACTCAGCTTATTTTGAGAAATTTTTAAGGGAATGCTATATGCGAAAGTGTGAATGTGGAATGGCGATGCTAAGCCTATTTAGTCATCAGTAAACATCAGGGACCGTAACAGTTACAACTTTTATTAAAAAAATCACTCTTTAACAATTATTTTTTGACTTTTATTTAATTACTCTTTAAATAACCGTTATTTCTGACTTTTATTTTATAAATCGAAAATAACAATTATTTTTGATTTTTATTTAAATAATCTGCAAATAACAGTTATTTTTGATTTTTAAATTATATGTCTTAAATAACAGTTACCGAAGACTTTAATTTATAAAAGTCATAAATAAAAATCAGTCACTGATCTTTATTTTTTCAATCATACTTATAAAAGTCATTTGAATAAGTCGTAGTAAACTTTTGTTTTCCAAGACCTTCTTAACTGCGAAAAATGTTAATGACTGTTATACGATTGATTTAAAAAATTAAAGTCGGTCACTGATTTATATTAATGACTTTTAAAAGTAAAAGTCACTGACTGATTTTTATTGATGACTTTTATAAATAAAACTCTTCAATAACTGTTATCTAAGCCATATAATATAAAAATCAAAAATAATTGTTGTTTTGGATTTATAATATAAAAATCAAATATAATTGTTATTCTTTTAAATTTTGAATAAAAATTGCAAATAAAAATTTATTTTCAAATTTGAGTCTCGGTGCAAAACGAAATCGATTGGTATGCTTCACGTAGTTGTAGAACATTCCTTTCATAGTAAATTTTTCCATNGGTGCAAAACGAAATCGATTGGTATGCTTCACGTAGTTGTAGAACATTCCCTTCATAGTGAATTTTTCCACGACAGTTTTCATCAATAACATCAATGTTCGGTCCCTGGTAAACATATCTGGTTATGCATAGTAGTTGATGGTAATGGTTACTTTGAGGTTATAGATATACTCGAAAGCAGTTTGTATGATT